CATCCAGGTGAACTTGGACTCGTCCACTCCCCTTCCCCCTCTGTCTACGTTGTATACCGTCCACGACGTCGACCATGACTTCCAGCGTCGGAAACTTTTTCTACTCGACTCTGGTGAGCTTCCTCTTTCAACGTGTTTTCGTTTCCTCGCCGCCACGGTTATTTTTGGCTCGCCACACCTAATTGAGTCTTCGCCTTCTCGTCAACACAACTAACACCTTTTTCAGAATGACTCGTTCGACACGGCGATCACTGCCGTCGAAGAAGTCTATACTGCCCGTGCAAATATGCCCGGAGCCAGAGACGTGGACGAGGATTATCAAAATGGCCCGCAGAGTATGGTCGGCAGGAGCCTCGATGGTGCCCGACACGAGGTGGGTCGAAATGTGATTTTACCGAGTGATTACTAATATGTTGTAGATTAACAAGTGGCGTGGCGTTTCGGTCCCTATGCCTTCTTGGGATGCTGCGAGTGGCATCATTGATGCCGGTCTGAACAAGGGTGCCATTGACGATCGCAAGATGTTGGTGCGTACATTTCCTCTATACAACGACGCACTTACTTATACGCTCTATAGCTCGAGACGGCGTTGACGACTATGTCGTCGTTGCCCAAGAGCGGCCTTGCCGATGCGCTCAACCAAAAGACTATTGCGCTGCTCTACCGCGACCTCCCTCACCCTCCTGCATCCTTTATTGGCAACAAGTACGCCTGGCGTCAGCCCGACGGATCCCACAACAACCCACACAACCCAGACCTCGGCAAAGCCGGCACATTCTATGCTCGCTCGGTACAAGGCCAAACCCCCATGCCACTCGCCGAACAACCCGACCCGGGTCTCATTTTCGACACGCTGTTGCGCCGCGAAAAGTTCAAGCCTCACCCGAGTGGCAATAGTGCGATGATGTTTGGGTTTGCGACCTTGGTCATCCACTCGTGTTTCCGTACGAACCACGACGACTGGACGATCAACGATACGTCGTCCTATGTCGACCTGTCGCCATTGTATGGTAACAAGGAGGAGGATTTGAACAAGTTGCGGAGGTTTGATGGCACGGGGTTGATGTGGAATGATGTGTTTGCCGAGGATAGACTGTTGTTCCTCCCACCCATCAGTTGTGCGCTCTTGGTCCTGTTTTGCAGGAACCATAACTATATCGCGACCAAGTTGTTGGAGATTAACGAAAAGAAAAAGTGGACCAATCCCCCTCCCAAGGACCCCAAGGCTCTGAGGGACCAAGATGATGAAATTTTCAATATCGCGAGGCTCATCAATTGTGCTTGGTTTGCGGGTATCGTCTTTTCCGACTACCTCGCCGCCATCTTGGGGTGAGTTCACCTTTACGTCAAAATATTCTTCTCTAATAATACTTCTAGTTTGTCTCGTGATGCCAACCCATGGTCCATGGACCCCTTCTCCGAGATCCGTAACGACGACCATACGATGGTCGAGCGTGGTCAGGGTAATGCTAACTCTGTCGAATTCAACTTGCTCTACCGCTGGCACGCCACCCTCTCGGAGCCTGATGTCTCATGGCTCGAGCGCATGTTTTCTGCTAGCTTTGGCAAGCCCCCAGAGGAAGTCACCATCATGGATTTC